CTATCAGATAGAGCATGTAAAGTAGGATTAAGCCCAAATGCTCGTGCGGAAATATCAAATTAGGGGTACGCAGATTAATTTGTAATCGTTAATTGATGTAACATTATATTTTATATGTTAATAATCGAATCATTAAAGTTAAATATTAATTAAACAAATTGTTAAAAGTGATTTATTAACAGTTACGATTATAGTTACTAATTTTGATAAATTATTAATCATCGATTAAATGTTAATAAATATTAAAGTATATTTTTTAAGAAAAATAAAAACATAATGATTTGTTTTGTGTTTGTTAAAGGTTTATATTTAACACTTTGATGGTGTATTAGACTATTGTAATATGTTAAATTTGTAGTATGATTAATGATGATGTATTTTATGTTGTATTAATTATTATTAGTATTGGTATGCATTTTTCTAACTAAATATGAAGTTATGTTGAGATCACTCTATTTAAAATTTCTTTATGAAAATTTTAATATAATATTTATTAAATGGATTGTTTCATTATGCTTAAAAGAAACGATTAACATGCGAAAACGAAATTTATAATACGTTAAATATTAACATGTAATTGAACCGTTAATAATGGTTAACAGTTTTTTTAACGATTAAGTTACAATTAATAAAATTCAGTAACCATTATACCAATTAATCGGTCATTTAGAGTAAACGAAAAACCTGCTGTAAACACCCTTAATCTAAACCTCAAAATCCTTAGTCAAAGTCTATTTGAATTGCAATAGAAAATGCAACGTGCGTTTAAAAAAACGCCATACCCTACAACTAGAACTGCTCAAATATAAACCTTCTAAATAACAATTTCTCTTTTATCACGCAATGGGTTTTGGCAGAAAATGCACCGTTCAATTATCCTAAGGGGATACTAAGTACAATATGGGAAGGGGAAACTATAACCGTTGCTTATTCACTGATTATTGTCCGCTACTACTTTTGCGAACACCTTTCAACAACCACTGCATATACTCAAAAAATAATCAAGTCCCCATCAGTACTTCAGTCTTAAACTTAAACGAACTCGTGATTGTTTATGCAACTTCATAGCGTGATAATGTCAACCAACTACCAACACAGCTGTCGCTACAACCTACGGCCTTCAAAAGTAGAGACAAGAAACAGATAATAGAAACAAGGGGGAAAATAGATTAAAGATAAGATAAATGCAATTCAAGGGATTTAATTATCCCTTCAGGTCCTGAGTTTAAGCAATGCGTATATTAGAAGTACAAGGTTTGTCAAAGGATTAAAAATCTTTGAACAGATACTACCCTGTATTTATCCATATCTATAAAATATATATATTATAGGTAATCCTCTTGAATTTTATAGGCTAATCCCCAGTCCTTAAAAACAGTGCAAAAATACCATATAACATAATCTTGATTAAAGTAGTCCTAGCAAATCCAACTCTAGCTGATTCTCAATCATCTTTTTCTTCTTGAAGTGGGAGTAACATTCCTTATCAAGAAATATGTATAATCATCTAATAGCCATAAATCTAATGTCAGTCTCCTGCAAAATAATCACATATAAATGGCACAACATTGGTTTACTTCAAGTTTTGATCCCCTAATTCAATTATTCTATTTCCATCGTTTGGTTCATAAAAGCATTATGAGGAGAGAACCTTACAAGATAAAAATGATGGTTGCTTGTTCTCTGGGACAGCTTCATATCATAGATTAACATTGGACTCTTAGATATCTGATTTTTCACCTGGCCTCACTAGCCAAATTCTAACATAGAAATAGACTGTCGCAAGTCTTGTTTCCATTTAGCACCATAAACTAACTAATATGCACTCACCTGGCCTCACTAGCCAAATCCAATCTCTTATCTTTCCCTTGATCGATCTTACTTGCTAACGAATTGCTTTATGCGTAGAATCTACATAAATGTACATTTCGAGACCATCATTAGATACCTACACACTTGTAATTGGATACTATCAATTTAAACGAACTTATTAAATCCATATCCCCAATTTTCCTTTAGGGGGAATCGGTTCCCCCCCCATGGGGGTATCGGTTCCCCTATGACATACTGGAAATTCTTGTTCGTTTGAAGGGGTCGGTTCCCCTTGAATGGGTACCGATTCCCCTTGCCCCAGAAATCATATTTTCAACCCGAAATTTACTTCATTTCCTCTCAACACTTCATATATCATCCCCTTTTCATCCTTAACTCTAGTACACATACTTAAACCAATCTATATTCATTTATTTCATCTTAAACCTCAAAATCCTATATTCCATACGAGATTCAAAAATCATACCAAATTTTCAATGTGTTCTAATTCCAATTCTAACACCTTATACTTCTTAATTAGATTGATGACAAGTCAAATTCATCCTTATAATTTCAAAAACCTTTCTATATCAAAACTTCATTTCTACTCTCTTAATAGAAATCCCTTTCTAATTCTCCCTTCTTGATGTTTAGTTTATACAAGCTTTCCTTAAGCTTATATAACCCCAAGATTCAAAACCAACTTATAAATTCCAGAAATTAACAGTTAAAAATCAAACTTACCTTTAAGCTGGGCTACGAGAAGAAGAGAAAGAGAAAGAAGAAGGCTTCCAGAACTCTCCCAAAACCCACGTATATCACCTGTATTTAAAGGAAAAATACAAAATATCCTTTAATCTTAAAAGACTAAATTACCCCTTTAATTATCCATCTATGCTATTCAATCCATCATCAAAATTCTTTACTTAAATCCCAACACTTTTAACTTATTTCAAAATTGAGCACTAAATTTCCCAAAATTTACATTTTAGTCACTGACCCGGCTTTCGGGATGTTACAGATGCAGTGTGGTTGAATATCCTTCTTAGTGGATATTGTTATTGAAAAATGATTAAGCCCCATAGTTTAGAATCCATCCACTCTTGCATGCTTAGTTGTTTAGATGCATGCATGCGTGTTTATATATTCGGTAAAACTTTAAACTTTTATATACTTAAGGGTTTAGGCATATCTATTCAGTAAAACTTTAAACTTTTATATATTTAAGGTTTAAGTTTTTATATATATATTTTTATATTCGGTCCTATTAAGCTTTATATTATTATTGGGGATTATTTGGATAAGGGGGGTTGATAAACTATCTTGAAACCCCACCAATGTAGAGTATGCCGTGGAATTTAGCTTATTGGATAAAAGTAAGCCATGAGTTCTATCAGATAGAGCATGTAAAGTAGGATTAAGCCCAAATGCTCGTGCGGAAATATTCAAATTAGGGGTATGCAGATTAATTTGTAATCGTTAATCATAATCGTTAATTGATGTAACTATTATATTTTATATGTTAATTAATTGAATCATTAAAGTTAAATTATTTTAATTAACCAAATCGTTAAAAGTGATTATTAACCGTTACGATTATAGTTACTAATTTTGATAAATTATTAATCATCGATTAAATGTTAAAAATTATTAAAGTATATTTTTAAGAAAAATAAAAACATAATGATTTGTTTTGTGTTTGTTAAAGGTTTATATTTAACACTTTGATGGTGTATTAGACTATTGTAATATGTTAAACTTTGTAGTATGATTAATGATGATGTATTTTATGTTGTATTAATTATTATATAGTATTGGTATGTATTTTTTTAACTAAATATGAAGTTTATGTTTAGAATCACTCTATTTAAATATTTCTTTATGAAAATTTTAATATAATATTTATTAAATGGATTGTTTCATTATGCTTAAAAGAAACGATTAACATGCGAAAAAGAAATTTATAATAGGTTAAATATTAACATGTTATTGAACCGTTAATAATGGTTAACCGTTTTTTAACGATTAAGTTACAATTAATAAAATTCAGTAACCATTATAACAATTAATCGGTTATTTAGAGTAAACGAAACGATTAACCTGCTGTAAACACCCTTAATCTAAACCTCAAAATCCTTAGTCAAAGTCTATTGAATTGCAATAGAAATGCAACGTGCGTTTAAAAAAACGCATACCCTACAACTAGAACTGCTCAAATATAAACCTTCTAAAAATAACAATTTCTCTTTTATCACGCAATGGGTTTTGGCAGAAAATGCACCGAGTTCAAATTATCCTAAGGGAATACTAATTACAATATGGGAAGGGGAAACTATAACCGGCAAAGACAGTCAGTGCCAAGGTTGCTTATTCACTGATTATTTGTCCGCTACTACTTTTGCGAACCACCTTTCAACAACCACTGCATATACTCAAAAACTAATCAAGTCCCCATCAGTACTTCAGTCTTAAACTTAAACGAACTCGTGATTGTTTTATGCAACTTCATAGCGTGATAATGTCAATCAACTACCAACACAGCTGTCGCTACAACCTACGGAGCCTTCAAAAGTAGGAGACAAGAAACAGATATAGAAACAAGGGGAAACTAGAGATTAAGAGAAGATAAATGCAATTCAAGGGATTTAATATTATCCCCTCAGGTCCTGAGTTTAAGCAATGCGTATATCCAAAGTACAAGGTTTGTCAAAGGATTAAAAATCTTCGAACATATACTACCCTGTATTTATCCCATATCTATAAAATATATATATTTATAGGCTAATCCTCTTGAATTTTATAGGCTAATCCCCAGTCCTTAAAAACAGTGCAAAAATACCATATATAACATAATCTTGATTAAAGTAGTCCCTAGCAATCCAAACTCTAGCTGATTCTCAATCATCTTCATTTCTTTCTTGAAGTGGAGTAACATTCCTTATCAAGAATATGTATAATCATCTAATAGCCATAAATCTAATGTCAGTCTCCTGCAAAATAATCACATATAAATGGCACAACATTGGTTTACTTCAAGTTTTGATCCCCTAATTCAATTATTCTATTTCCATCGTTTGGTTTATAAAAGCATTATGAGGAAGAGAACCTTACAAGATAAATGATGGTTGCTTGTTCTCTGGGACAGCATTCATTATAATAGAATTAACTTGGACTCTTAGATATAATGATTTTCCAACAGCAAAACTGTTAGACATGGTTGTGGGTTTATCATATACAACCATGAGTTTACAGGGTTGAGAAATATTCCTGGTACTACAATAACCAATACTATCACACACTGAAAATTATAACATAAAATAACTATGGGAACAGAAAATAATATATCAACAAACAAGAGGAACTATACAGCAATACTCTTGATCCACAGCTGCAGAGAAAGGCACCAATATGAAACCATGGAAAGCCTAGCAGAGAGTGAACTAAGTTTGAGAAATGGCCTTCTTATGTATCTCTACGTGCTTTGGCTTTCTCAATTGACTCCATGGCTTCTTCAAATGATTTCTGCGTAAAAACTTGAAATCAGTAATGTTACAAAGTAAATCTCTATAGAGGAAATATCCTTTGGTATCAAACAACATTAGAGGTCACGTCATTCAAACGTAATTTCCTGTCACTTCGGATTTACTGAGTATATTTATGTCAAAGGTAAGGCTTTATCATACAAAGACAATGTCAAAATAGACAAGATTAGAGTATATATTAGAAAATTTGGCATGCATATCATTTACAACTATTTCAAAAAGTAAACTGATAAAAAGATATGAAATGGGAATGGATAGAAATGAGTATGAGTCCAAGCCTTGAAATTCTGCACTCTAAGAACTTCAAATCTATGCTTAGAGCACCTGAGCCTTTTCTTCAGTTATTCGTGCATAATCCCCTTATTCAAAAGAGCAGGGTCAAAGCAAATCAGAAATACAATGACTTAGACTGTGCTTAAAAAGACATAAATACCGGAAAAGGATAAAATTCAATAATAATAATAAAAGAAAACACTTAGACCTTATGACGTGCTAAGGATGCTCAAGCAAAATGATGTAGCATCTACCATAAGAAAAAAGGTTTCACTTTATACACACATTGGAACATAATGTGTGGAATGCAAAGTTATTAAATTAGGTTCCAAACAAATAGCGATCTGCGTTTTAGGCAACTGCAGTTTAGAGTTGGAGGTTCTGTGTTTGGAGTCTAAGTTATATTTTAGGATAATGTTGGAAAAGAATTATAGCTATTTAAGGATTAGGAAGTTAGGAGGCTAATAAATCAACGTATTCGTTCTATTGAAATATCGGATATTATCAATGCGTTCTCAGCATTAGTAAAGATAACTCCTAAGATACTCTAGGTAAGAAGCTTTATGCTATCTTCTCTTACATCAATTATATGTTCCTATGTTCCTCAAACCTCAAGAATTCACATAAAAAACCTATTCGACAAAAATTACCCTCCTAGGCTAGCTTTCCTGTAAAGAATGTTTGTTTGCCTAGTTCTTCCCCATAGTACAAGACATCCCAAAAGTTTCTACTTTTTTAATAACTGAAAAAGGAAGCTAGTATTACAGATTATATAGTGAACAATCCAGGAAGACAAAAGCTGTCACAAATGAGACGAAGAGACTCAAAGGAGAAGCAGTGAAAAAGAGAAAGGATAGAGCAAAATATACATACCCCAGGATTGTGCATTTTCCATAGTGCTTCTCCGCTGTTATCAATTGCGACAATTCCACCATACAAAGCACTGTAGAGGTCATAAATAAGCCAGTCATTGCTAAATAACCCAGTAAGGCGTTGAGCAGAATTCATAATAAGGTCTAATTATCATCTTAATTCCTCTCATATACTGAATTTTAAATTTAATCTATCTATCTTATTTTTTAGTTGGCATGATTTGATTTTGATCCTCTACTTCAATAATCTTATTAGTCAGTCCAAATTAATATCTTTTCTGCTGATCACTTTCTTAAGTAGCTCATATAATTTTTTTTGACAGTAAAAATCCATGTAATTATCAGCAACAGTTAATTGTATTATCAATTAGGACTTGGAAGATCAAACTATGTAAAGAAGGATTAAATCGGCGACTGAAACCATAATCAGACCAATTACGAATAAAATTAAAATTGTAGGAAAATAATGAAAGAAACAAGGAGATTACCCGGCAAAGACAAGATTGATAAGGAAGGTGCGCGTGGAGAAAAATCGAAGTGGAATATGCCAGAAATTACTGGTGTAACGTTGATGGGTATTTTTATAAGAATAAGAATTGGAAGAACCGTAACGGAGGCGGAGCGGCGGTGGCGTTTGTGTATTGGTGGAATAATTATGATTATAATAGGAGGAGGAGGGGGAAGAAAGATTGTAGTGAGCGCGCTTGATATCGTCGCTGAGGACCTCGTAGGCCTCGGAGACTTGCTTGAATCGGAGGGTGGCGGAGTCTCGTACGGGTTTCGGCGAATGGGAGTGCTTGTCGGGATGATATTTCACCGCCAGCTTCCGAAACGCTTCTTTGATTTCTTCTTTGGTGGCGCTCCGGCTCACGCCCAGTACCTTGTAAAGATCCATTTTCTGTTGTGTTCGATTTGCACTCCCTCTCTCTCTCTCTGTCTTGTGAATTTTCCTTCTTTTTCCTTTCTTTATTTCTTCATTCACTACATTCCACGCCATCGACTTCGTGGCTCGCCCATGTCCTTTCTTCTTTAACCTCGTTTATTTGTTTACATAATTCTTTTATGGGTAAACTACAGATTTGGGCACTTCCGTTTAAATTTTATAAACATATGATCATTAAATTTTAAAAATATAATACATAATCACTTTTGTTTTATTTTAATTAAGATTATTTTATTTAAAGTTTAAGGATTAAAGTAAAAATTAAATATTTTTACTTACGCGTCACATCATTAAACTAATAGAAGTCAACGTTTCAGTGACATATAATAATTAAAATAAAATAAAAGTGACTATGTATTATTTTTTTAAATTTAATGACCATAAGTTTATAAAACTCAAACGAAAGTGATCAAATCTGTAGTTTACCTTTTTGTAAAGGTAAACAACGCATTTAGTATCTAAATTATCAATTTTTGTTCGTTTTAGTATCTAATTTTTCATTTTAAAAAAGTATACCTAACGTTTAGTTTTTGTTTCATTTTAGTATCCTGCTTCGCATCTATCGATCAATGAAGCCTTAACATTCTTACTCATACCTTTCCGACCATCGAAAAATACCTCAATCTCCCCAAATCGATGATGAACTATTCGATTTTTTTTCATCCTCCAATCTCCATGGTTCACCGTCGCGATGAGACCGAAACTGAACTATGTTGGTCGACTCATCATTCTCTCGTGGTCCATTGTTCAGATTGATTGTCCATAGGAACGAAGCTATGTTGGGGTCCAAAACGGCCCCGACCCCTATAAGAAAATTATATACTCGATAGATTTTGGTGTAATAGTATTTTTGTTCATGTAAAAATAAATATTCAATTAAAAAATACAAGAATTTATTAAATATCTAATCAAGTAGAGACCGAACAAAAGAAGGATAATCTAATGTTCTCAAATTTTTTGTTTTAATAACAATTTAGGTCATTGTAAGTTTAAATATTATACATTTTCTTTTGAATTTTGAGTTTAAATACCTAATAAATCATTATATTTTTTAAAATGTTCAATATTTAGGCACCTACCAATATTTAGTCCTGACTCCGTCACTTATTATTCCACGTAAATTCTTCCATTAAAATTTTAATAAAATACTAAAATAAAACAAAAACTAAATGTCATGTATGAACAATTTTTTCACTAAGAGAGATTCAAATGCTATTTTAAAATTTCTCATGCATCGGGGCGCAAGATCCCCGCAAAGGGCTCCACCCCCTGACACAGCAAAGGCCTCAGCCACATGCTTGGGTAACAAAATTGTAAGGACAATTTGAGAATTCAAATTAACAAGACATGGACGAAGATTTTTTGTTTGAAGCATGTTATTCAATTTGTATGGTGTTTGAAAAGCATAGTTATAGCCTAATAACTCATTTAGTTTACAAAGATTGTAATTTTATAAATACAATCTACATGTCATGTCTTTTTATATATATATTTTTTAAATTATTCTTTCATCTCACTCCTCCTTCGTATGTAAGAAAAAATTCTTCCGACTTTAAAATATGAGTGCTATTATGGACTGAAGAAAAGAAAGATGGGCCAACAAAAGTGGATAAGAAGTTTGCGAGACGGCTTGCTCCTTTTTTTTTTGTTTCGGTTCTCTCATTGGTTTGGGTGGAACCACTTAAATATTTGGGCTATAATCATTACATTTATTTACTTCTTCATATTTTTTAGGTATAAGATGCAATTGATATTATATTAGCATGCAAAATTTAATAAATTAATAATTAATTCTATTAAATTCTTAATACTAAATAATCAAAATGAAATTAAATGACTCTAAATTTAAAAGGAATAATTAAATGATAAAAATGATAGTTAGGATACTAAACAAATAATTTACACTATTTTAATTTGAACGATCGTTCAATCTGACTCTAAATCTTTCTGGTACCTCAATTATTTTTTCATTTTAATTTCAGTTGCCAGCCAAGTTTCAATAAATAGAAATCCATCATCCCACGTATCCTGTTCCCAAAATTGTCGGCAGATGGAGGTATTTTTGTCAGTCACCAATACGAAAATCTTAAAATCTCTTACCGTTGGTGATTAAGTCATCAAAAATCGTTGTCAAGACACGAATTTACTCAAAATTATATTCAAAGTGAAAGATAATGTTAATTGTTTTTTTATTAATATGATGTTAATATAAAATAGTATTTGTTTAAAGATTATTTTAAATGATTTGATAATGAATATTCATATTTTTATATATATGATGTTCGAATTCGAGACTCTAAGAGATAACATTAGATTTTTTAACTATTAAAATCACTTAATTCGTATAAATAATATCAATTGTTTATTGTGAAATTACTATAAATCCTAAATAATTTACTTTTAACCTAAAACACTGCTTCGTAATATTTTCAAAATTGAGCTCGATAGTGGTGAACACTAATGAAATAAAGAACAATATAGTAGGAAAAGGTGGAGTGTTGGAGATAAGGTCATTATATAATAATGATTAGAATAATTATAATAGCGTGGAAAAAGAATAACAACATTTCCAATTTTTTAATATATACAAATTTGATTTTTGTTCACTTTAGCATATGTTTTTGACAGCCACTTTAGCATATCTTTAGAATCTGATTTAGTGGAGCAGCTCCAGATCTTATCTCATTATTCCCACTCCTGCGACACTCAGGTCTTTTCATCATCATTTATTTTATGTGTATTAAAATTAAGGCTAAACTATATGTTTAGTACATCAATTACCCCTTTAGTTTTTTTATGTTTTACATAACGTTATGATTTTGTTTATTTTGGTCACCAACCTTTAAGAAATTAAAAGAATTGACGATGTGTCATTTTTTAATTTTTTAATGATAATGTGATATTATCTTATGGTGATACTGGAACATCCCGAATTTCGAGTTGACCCGAGTGGGCTATGGATGAATATAATAGGCTTTCATGAAGATCGAGTTGAGTTTGGGCTTAGGTTGAGCCCAAATAATTATAAAAAGAGGAATTTTGAATTGAATTTGAATGGAGAAGGACCAAGGAGGTAATCGACCTATTAAAAATTTTAAAGACTAAATCCCATTAATTTGTATTGATGTCACAGTTGGAAAAGGGGGACAAAGCTGTTTCATCCCTTCTCATTTTCTTCACTCTCTTGTCTTATTGCTTCCTTCACATTTTTTCATTCATCTCTAATAGAAAGAACTCAAAGGAGCTAACTTTGTTGTCTAGAAACTCTGTTCTAAATTTATGAAGGTAAGAACTATAATCTCCACCCCTAGAGCTTCCATTCAAGCCCTCTATTTCAAGGTTTGGTCATAGTGGCCATGGTGGGGGTTTTTGGAGGAGTTTTGGGTTTTAGGACTCTAGAGTGATTTAATTTGTTTCTAAAGTTAGGAAATAACACTTTTACTTTTTCTAAGTTCTTAGATGAGTTAATAACTCATTCTTTGATTTGTGATTAGTTAAAGAAGTGGGAGAAGGCTCCAAAAGTAAGGGTAAGGAGAAGGTCGTGCTTGAGTAAGCTTAAGGTGATTTCCAACATCTTAGGAGAAAGGTAACACACCTCTAACTCTTCTATAATGCTTGTAGATCATCATGTGTTGATTGGTTACTTGTATGATTTCATGAGACATTATGGGTGCATTTCTGGTCATAGAAAAGATAAGGTATTTTGGTGTTGTTCATGCATGAAAATAACCTACTACGATCCCTTTGAACTTATATAAGCTTTAAATAACACTTGAGGGTCTTGAAAGGGCTTTGAGTATGAGTAGAGGTGTCTTTTTTCTTGGAAAATATAACATTATGGGCTTGGAGTATCGATACTAGAAGAACATTATCGGTATTGTTCGTTTGACGAGCCAAAATCAGGGATTTTGGACAGCTAGTATCGATACCATGTTCATCGGGTATCGATACTATTCTTAGGGTATCAATATTGAGGATAAAGTATCGATATCAAGAGTTGATTTCAAATTCCAATAGCCAAAATTGGTACCGATACTTGAGACACTATTCATACCATAAGAGGGTAATATAGATACCCTAGATAAAAGTATTGATACTAAGATGAATTTTTCAAACATCGAATGCAATTTTGGTACCGATACAAGGTTAGTATCAATACCATGAGAGGGTAGTACCGATACTCTACATAGAGATATCGATACTATGAAGTTATTCCAAAAACATCGAATGTAAAATTGGTATCGATACCCATAGTAAGTATCGATACTCAAAGGTCGATACTGATTGTAACATCCTCAATACCGGGTTAGTGATCAAATTGTAAAGTTTCAAAATTTGGTGACTAGAGTAGAACCATGGATTAGTTCAATGATTTATTTGGAAATAAATCATAAAAGTTGTTGGTAATTATTAAATGAAGTAAAGGGTAAAATGGTCAATTAACAAGGAAAGATATTTTCTCCCCTTTATTAGGAGATTAACACGTGGGGGAGAGGAAGATGAAAACTTTCTTCTTCTTCACTTGCTTTCTTCTTCTCCAACGTGCCCAAGCTAGGCAAATGTGAGTTTTTTATTTGTTGATTATTAGCTGAAATTTAAGGTTGAGTTTTGATTATTAGGTGATAATTAAGCATAAGAAGAGCTTAAATTATCTTGAAACAATAAGATGAAGAGAATAGAGGGGATTAAAGAAAAGAGAGGAATAAGTGAAATCTTAAAAGAGGGTTTTTAATGAGGTTTTAGAGTGAATTTGACTTGTAATTAATCTAATTAACATGTATGAAGTATTAGAATTGGATTTGTAATATGTTAAAATTTGGGTATGATTCTTGAATTTCTTAATGAGAATAGGATATGGAGGTTAAAGAAGTGATTATTGAGTAGAAATGAGGGCAAATATGTATATGTAAGTAAGGAATATGAAAGGGGATGAAATATGAAGCATTTGAGTTGAATTAAATGGATTTTTGAGCTTAAAATGCAAATTCTGGGCAAGGTGTATGATGCACATTGAATGTGCATCGATGCACTCTTTAAAGAAGAAACATCGAATGCAAATGGTACATCGATGCATAAGGAG